ATGATACATCCAAGACATAACACAAGTCTTAAAATATCCAAAAAGGTAATTAAAACTATGAGGGACAGACATAATCATCATGGCATAATATTCAAATCAGATCATAAATCAAGAGGGACAGACATAATCCTCTTGGTCATATAAATACTTTTAATAAAAAGGATTAGAGTTTACATGCTTCATAAAGAAGATATGTCCTAAGTTGGCACAAGATACATTGTATAATCCAAAATAAGAGGCAACGTGAAAGATGGTGTCTCATACACCATAGTTACACCTTCGGTGCTTTCTCAGCCGGACTTGCTCCTGTAAAAATATTAACCACGGGGAATGAGACTTAAAAGTCCCAGTAACCAAAAATTAATATGTAATGATGCATGCGGTTATAACTAATCATGCGATTGCTAAGTGGGCACACAAAACATTTAACCGAATAATATTTTCAAACAAACCGAATAAGTATTTAATTTACATGACTGCACCTTATATCCTCCTTTCGCCATGCTTGGACGCCAAATCACCCGGCCAAAGGTGAGTTGGACCAAGCGACACGCCACTCATTGGGTCCAATGAGGGCTTACCACGTGGTAATAATTAACCAAACAGAAATTCCCATTAACAACATATATTAAAATATCCTGACAAGTCATGCATCATTCAAATATCCAGACAGAAATATATCCACACAATAATATCTCATCATGATAAACAAAAATAAATTTTTTAACACACTTGGCAATAATTTCAAACAAGTATATACATTATTTATTTTCAATAATTCATAATTTTTCTAAACAATAAAAACAACACATAACCATTCACAAACACACCCATCACAACACATTAATAATGGTTACCTTGTGTCTTGAATGACAAGTTTTCCTTCACAACTCCTTTTTCACCACTATCTTTGTCAATATAATCTACATAATTATTTCACAATACTATATATTAATTTTACATTAAAATAAATAACTCTAATTTAAAGAGTTAGAAAGTCTTAGATTTATAATCTATATTAATACTAATTTAAGATTTATGCCTCATTTAACTTCTCAAATTCTTTTCTAAAATTCTCATACCCTAATAAACTATTTTTTTTATCCTCAAATCACTTCTAGTATCACAATTTCATTCTTCTATATTTTAAAAATTCGTTCAAAAATAAATTAAAAATTTTAAAATTATCTTGAAACCTCAAATCACCTTTCTGTATCCTCAAAAATACCTATTCATACTTAAATAAATATTTAATAATTAGAGGTTCATCCCTACATTTCATATTCGATATAAATTCAACCATATAGATCTAGAGTTTAACTCAAAAATTCTTAAACATGAGTTTTAACCTCAAAAAAATATTCTATAATATTTATTATATCCCCAAGAACTTTAATCTATATTTTTAATCTATCATATCATCAGATTAACTATCCTATAGAAAAATCTTAATCAGAATATTTACTCTATCCTAAAAAATAATCATATCACTAGAAAGCTAATATTATTTAGAAAATAACTATAAAATTAATTTTGTAATTAAATAAATTTTTAAATGCTAATGTAAATAAGAAAGTTAGAACATACATGAAGAAAAAGAAAATAATCCCCCCTTGCAAGAAGACGCCGAGCAACGTGAGAGGAAGAGAGAAAAATAATATAAAAATGGAATTTTAGGCCCCACAATTATATAAAAAAAATTATAGGTCTAAATTTAATTATTCAAACCTTTGGGCCATTACTTGCAATTTTCACAAATTGCGTCTTGGGCCCTTAGTTGCAATTTTTACAAATTGCATAAATGTTTCTTTTGCTTCACTGACGCGGACTTCGCTTTCTTTATATAGTTGATGAAACTTTTCCTCTTCCCACATCTAACCGATGTGGGATTAACTCCCATCTCTCTTTTTTTTTGCTTTCACCATTTTTTTATCACACACACACCAAAAAAAAATTATTTATATATTCTAAATTTTAAAATTTTATCTTAACTAAACATTTCTTATGTAATTTTAAACCTAAATTTTTAATTTATAATTAAATTTTTAACCATATTATTATTTTCAAATAACCTCAAATAATATAAATTCCTATTATTAACTTAAATTTCATATTTTTTTAATCTAAAAATTAGGATGTTACAAGGCTTTTACTCATATTATAAATAAAATAGGGACAACTTTAAATGTGGATATTCATACACCATGCCAACTTAGGGGTCATTTTGTGAGAATATGTGTCTTGATTGATCTTGGGCAATAATTAATGTCTAGTTTTCATTTAGATGGTGAACATTACCAATTAAAACATGAAGGCTTACACTTGTTGTGTACTAATTGAGGTATTTATGGTCATATAATCAAAGCTTGCCCATTAAAATGAGGTCATGATCAACAAGTGGAAAGATCAGAATATACTCACACAAACATTGAACCAATCATAGCAGGCATGACTCAGAAGGAGGAAACACCTACTGAGTAGTGGTCGATGCTTTAAAAATAAAGGCGACAACACAAGGGAAAGGAGAGAGGGGCTGAAACATCAAGTACAAGTCGGAATGTGTCATGTTTTTAGGGTGGTTGGCTGTAAAGGAGGTGACGAATGGTACAGCTAAAAATGGCTTTGCCAGAGTATAAGGTCACCCTCACTAATCTATCATTAACTCCAAAATTAAGAAAATCATGGGACTAATCCGATTAAATTACTAAGTTTGTAAAATTTACATAAGTGGGATTCCAAATTTTTAAAACTTAACTTGCTAAAAAAATTATTTTATAGACAAAAATAAGAGGAAAACATGTATATAGAAGCACGAACATCATATAAAGTAAGTTAACATCAAATTGGGTTAAAAGAACAAAAGCAGTGATTCTACCATAATATGTTGCAATACAAAATGCAAAAGCTCATGACAGAGAAAAAAGCTGTCATGGTAGTTTTTCTAATCAAACTTTTAATGCATCTAAATCTTCATCTAACGTTTGATTGAGGTAATTTAGGTGTTATAGAAAGCTTTCTTCAAGCTCTAATTAATGACATTGGTTTCACATTCAAAGCATTTTTCAATCAAAAGTTAGACACCCAAATATAAACTTACTTATTTATGCTTTCAAAATATAACTAAAGTGTCCAAAATCACAATCAATTGCAATAAGCTCATAACCACTTCTAAACCATACTTAATAGACTTAATAAGACCCGTGCAACACATCACAACACCCCAATAACATGTACAATATATTTTCAACGTTCAACCCCTAGTTCCATAAAATACAAGGGGGAGGAAATTCTTGCACAAATCAATATTCATCAATAACAATTCAAAATACACTTTATGTTATTTGCACAAGTATTTTGACCTTATATAAGGTTTCAAAACTACAATTCACTAACCCAAAGCAAAAAATACATAAATTATACACAATAATAATGTAAGTAGCCTAAAACAATCATATGACTCCTAGTTGGCACGTTAACAACATTAATACAGATAAACAATACAATAAGGCATATAAGTAGGATTTACTCTACAATCCTAAGCCTTAGCATGTTTCACCAATCTGAATTTAATGAGCTAGGCCTTAAAAATATTGAAGAATGAACGGTAAATACAACCACTCAATAATCAAGTTTTACTTAATCTATACAGTTACATATTAATTAAAAAACTGATGCAGTTGGCAATAGCACACATATATTTTTCACATATATAATAAACATAACTGCGGTCACAATAATAATAACCATGTAACTAGGTATTAAACACATATTATCATGTATTTGCCAATTATGCACAATATGGGGTTGTAAAATTAATAACCATGCGCCACCAACACATGCCAAACTATAATAATAACAATCATATGGCCAGATCTAAATGCATGATTAATACCAACATTATATTCTCCTGTTACCTTAAACATGAAACCGATAGCTATTAAGTGACTATATCTATAATACAGACTAACCCAACTTTTCATTTGTGAGGAGCTATCGGGTGAAAGTTGCAAACTTTTGTGTGAAGAGAATGAAGTGCAAGTGAAGTTGCAAACTTCTACCTGACTTATTTTTTATTTTTCAAATGTTAATTTTAGAGTTTAAATTGGACAAAAATTTGTTTTGAATTTTGAGAATTTTTTTAAGGGAAAACCCATAAAAGGATTTAATTTTTAAGAGCTAATTTTCATGATTTTTGGATTGTTAAGATAATTTAAAAGAAAATTTTTTTAAAGATTTAAATAAGATTTTTTCCTCTCTATTCAAAATTGATTCAGAAGACATATTAAATTTATTTATCTTCTTTATTATCTTTTTTAAAAAATAATCCTTAAAAAGATTAACTTTCATTTTTTATATTTTTTCAGAATATAACTCTTAAAAAGAATTAATATTTCGTTTTTTATGTTTCTTTTTCTTTTTTTTTGAAAATTAATTCTTAAAAAGAATTAAATTTTATTTTTTTTTTTTTATTTTTTAGTTTTATAAAAATAAATATGTTTAAAAGTAAAGACTATTAAATAAATATATATATATTTATTTATTTTTTATTAAATATATGAATAAAATATGGTGTTCACGCTCATATTATTGGATGTTATTAGTGAAAAGTTAATTATGAATTTTATTAAAAGTATAGGGTAGGTGATCAAACTGATTCTCTCTCTCTCTCCTCGAATAAATTTCGTTAATTTGGGACAGTGTTTGAATTGTAAATGTTCAAGCAACACATACTGGGGAGAAGAATATTACTTAAACCGTAATAACCCAAAATTTTTGCTAAAAATATAGTTTATGGTTAACTATTTTAATTATATTTTAAATTCGGACTGGATTTAACGAGGGAGATAGGTGGAGTTTATGTCAGCTATACAATTATCACGTCCAAGTTCGAACCTTCTCATCCCGGGGAGGGGATTTTATTTTTATATTAGTTTCATTAAATTACCATTTTGCCCCTATCAGATTTTTTTCAGAACACAGAGAATCAGATCTCCGAAAAGGAGGTGCCTTCATTTATTCATTCCTGTTCTTCCTCGTTCAAAAATTCCAGACCAAGAGAGAGAGAGCCTTCGTCCGGTTTCTCCATCCTCTCCCCCGCTGTTCAGATCGCCGGCTGTGCGTGCGAGCACTGTGGTTTGGGAAAGGAGTTCTTGGTTCCGCATTCCATCTTTGTTCTTCGCATTTTCTCACGGTGGGTGCTATCGGACCCTCTTCTTCCTCCTCCACTCGTTCCGTTCGAGAATCGTGGGCACGCGAGGAGCTGTTAGAAGATTTGTGGAGGTTGGGCTGAAGCTGTCTTCTTCTCCCCTGTTCTGTTCCTTCCTTTCGGTGTTATGGATGATCTGAGGTGAGGTAATTTGTCCCTTCACTTCTCTGTTGTTGGTTGGCGATTTGAGATATAGAAGCTTCAAGCTCTCTTCCCACTCGTTCTGTATGCGCGTGCGATGTCTTGTGATTTAGGTGGTGATTTTTTTCCTGCTGCTTTGAGCATTGGATAGGGATGAGAAATTGATTCAAGCTGAAATTTTTTGTGCTGAGAGCTAGATGATAATTGATAGATTTGATTTTCTGTGGATTAAGGCTGATTTTGTTGTTGTTGTTGAAGGAATGGAATTTGGTAAGCTTGATTTGTTCAAATATTGATAGTAGAGTTAAAACTGATTTGCCTATTGGATGATTGGAACTTCGGAAGTCGATTAAATTAAATAATTATGTTAAGAGGATCTTTAGAAAATGGAAATTGGATGGTATAGGTTTTAATTTTGATGCATATGGAATGTTTGATAAAATGCTTGAAAGGAAGTTGAAATTAGAAATAGAGATGTTTTGGAAAAGTGAAAGATAAGGTTTGTCCGTGCAATTTTTTTGAAACTTTTGAATTGACATTGTTGGAAGTCCAATAAAATCCTATTAAACTTTTTAAGGAGATTGGAAGAGAAGAGAATTTGATATCATGGTTTAAATAATAGTGCTTACAGGGTGTTTGGACTAATGCTTGTTAGAAGAATCTGCATATTATGACAGGATTCTTGTGATGCTTGTATTGTTGTGAGTCAAAATATCATAGAAGACACTTCATAATGAAAATTGAGGCACGGATTAGAGATTTGTGGAATAGGTAATTTGATTAGTAATTCAAGAGCTAGATTGCTATTGATATGTTAGTGTTATGTTAGTCTTTGGAATTTCTAAGGAATAATTAATGCAATATTTGAAAAAAAAAAACTATCTATCCTTTTTTTTTTCTTTGAATAAATTTGGGTTGCAAATTTTAGATTGTTTAAGGCATATAGAAATGACTATAGTATTATTTGAATAATAGGAATTTAGGACCTTGAGTTTTTGCAAAAAGGTCTAATTTGGAAGTAAGTTATATATTTGGGAATCTATCAAGTAAGTGGATAGCGTTCTAACTGATTTATCAATAAAATTCTTTTTTCAAGATATATTCTTACATAGATAATTCAATAACTATTATAACACATATTTAATAATTTAATTTAATTATTTTTATTTTATCTTGGGAAATTGTAAAGAGATGTTGAAGGATGTTTGAATTATGGCACATCTATGTGTTCTTTCTTATGAAGGATGCTTTCAAAATTGATGAGATTATTTCTATTAACTCTAATTATTTTTGGTTACTCAATAAATGCCAAATATGGACATTAATTATGAAATTTTATTTTGGTATGTTTTAACACTCAAAGCTATTCATACGAGTTTGACTTTGATAATAGGAACTATATTTTTATAGTGATAATTTACTTGTATGTTTGAGAATAGATTCGGAGGGGATTTTATACAGAACACTAGCTGTTAACAGCAGTTTCGTTAGCTTTTGGCGTGCTATGATTAATGACTAGCTAGTTTGATTTTCATGAGTATTTATCTCACATTTGTTATTAGCACCTGTGTTTGTTTTCGTGCCTTTAAGTCGCGTTTGGTTATTTATCCTCGTGGATTGTGTGTCTATGTTCATTTTTGTTGCATAAGCCACGTTTGATTATTTATATGGTGGACTGTGTGTCCACGTTTGTAAATTGTTCTGATAAATCCTCTAAAAATATGTGAATTTTTTGGTGATTTCATACGTAATAGTTTTTAATTTAGTAAGTTCTATTATTTTATTGTTTATTTAATCATTTTAACTTGTCAAAATCAAATGTTTAAGATACTTTGTCATTATAGATTTAAATGTTCTTATCATTGAAGTTATATAGAACCTTTATTTCAAGTTTACAAATTTGTTTACATTGAATTATTTTCTCTTTAATTTATGTAATTATTGTATTTTATTCATTTTGATTTTACAAAATGTCACGATTGGGACATTATTCACTAGAAATTACTTTTGGTCTCAAATAGCATAGCTAACCCTGTACCTCCGTGAGATTAGTGAAGAGATTTTGTTGCTGAATTGAAGTTGAGACGCCATTTTAGTTAACCTTTATTTTGATGTAAAATCATAATTTATATATCGTATTTTTATAAATAATGTTTTAGGTCCTCCACATAGACTATGGTTAGAATCCTTATTTGGTTACCTATATTGATAGTCTGTTGATAGGAGTTGAGTTTCCTATTGCTATATTGTGTAAAAATGTTCTTATAATATTTTTGAAAAGTTCTATTCTCAATGGAGGTGCTGTGGGATTTCTACAAAAAATTTATGAGTTTTGTTATCATAAAAGGCATTTTGCTAAATAACTTTCCTCTGTATGATAGGTACATTCATGATTGCAGTAGGCATTTCTCGAGTTAAGATTTAAGAGATGTAGTTTATGTGGATATTCTATGTCGATCACTCCTTAAAATCTTGGAGCGTGACATAAACGTTGCCCATCAGCTATTGTTGAATAAAGAATGCCATGCTTAAACATTAATATGAGATTATTTCATCCATACTGCTTGAGGCTTTTTTACTTGCTTTGTATTATCCTTGTCTGCCCATTGAGGCTCTGCTACATTGTTTTTTTTTTTTTGGGGCTTTAAATTTTGATCAGCTTCAATGAATTACAAGGAACTCCAAGAGTGTCATCCTTTTGAAAAGCGGTATTCTTTAGGATAGAGAGAAATAATTGCCTGGTTAGCTTATTTACATGCCACAATTTTAAATTGATGCACCGGCTTTGGTTTGTTCAGTAGCTGGTACATCTTTTGTTTTTTTTTGTGATAAGAAAATATCTATCAGGATCTTGCTCTTAATTTGCTCCTCTTGGTAATTGTATTTTTGTGATGATGATGGTTTTTATGACTTGACAAAGAAAATGTGATTTGAATAGAAAGCTGTTGACAACGTATCCCATGGAACTGCTGATACTCCTCCATTAAAAGAGCTCGCCTCAGTCTCTTGCATCTCCATGAAGTATGTTTTATTCATTTTCACGTCATTCAAGGAACCAAAACTATCTAACATTCCACCGTAGTTCATCGGTAAGAAAACACCAAATCATGGCCATCAAAGATGTTAAACCGAATGGGGAAGTTACTTCTGCAGGTATCTTGGACCATCCTCCTCATGGAACCAAGGGGGATAGTTCTGTTAAAATGGTTCGGAGAACCACCACAACCACAATGTCTATCCCTTTTTCCCCAGAATCTTCACTTTTAAGACAACATCAACTTTATGATGTTGTTGAATTGAATAAGATCATCAGTAGCTATGTAAGAGCAGGTGACATGGATTCTGCAATTCATGTGTTCCAAAATATGAAAGTCAAGACCACAATCACATGGAATTCTATTTTAGCTGGGTATGCTAAGAAACCTGGAAAAATTAAAGAAGCATGCGAACTGTTTGTAAAAATTCCTGAACCAGATACTATCTCGTATAACATAATGCTAGCCTGTTATTGGAACAATTTTGACATTGATAATGCTTGTGCTTTGTTTGACATCATGCCAGTGAAGGATATTGCTTCATGGAATACAATGATATCTGGCTATGCTCAGATGGGAAAGATGGGTGAGGCAAGGGAGTTGTTTTCAGTGATGCCAGAGAAGAACAGTGTCTCATGGAGTGCAATGGTCTCAGGATATGTATTGTGTGGAGATTTAGATTCTGCATTGGAGATTTTCAATTCAGCTACTATAAAGAGTGTAGTTGCATGGACTGCTATGATAACTGGGTACATGAAGTTTGGGAGGGTTCAATCAGCAGAAAGATTGTTTCGAGAAATGCCTTTGAAGAACTTAGTGACTTGGAATGCTATGATTGCAGGATGTATTGAAAATAACCAAGCAGAGAACGGGTTGAAGCTTTTCAAAAAATTGTTAGAAATTGGGTTTAAAGCTAATGCATCAAGCTTGAGCAGTGTTTTATTGGGATGTAGTACTTTATCATCATTGCAGCTGGGTAAACAAGTTCATCAATTAATTTGCAAATCTCCATTGGTTAGTGATACTACAGTAGGGACTTCACTTATTAGCATGTATTCCAAGTGTGGGGATTTAAATGATGCTTGGAAGTTGTTTGTTCAGATTTCACCAAAGGATATTGTAACCTGGAATGCAATGATTTCTGGTTATGCGCAACATGGAGCTGGTGAAAAAGCTCTCCATTTGTTTGATGAGATGAAAAGAGGTGGCATAAATCCAGATTGGATTACTTTCATTGCAGTATTATTGGCTTGTAACCATGCAGGTTTGGTAGATCTTGGGATCCATTACTTTGAATCAATGGCAAGGGATTTTGGAGTTGAAGCTAAGCTTGATCATTACACTTGCATGGTTGATCTTCTAGGCCGAGCTGGAAGGTTATCCGAGGCTGTGTGCTTGATAAAGAATATGCCTTTTAAACCGCATTCTTCTATCTTTGGAACACTTTTGGGTGCTTGTCGGATCCATAAAAACTTACATATAGCTGATTTTGCTGCCAAAAATTTGCTTGCGCTTGATCCAACTAATGCAGCGGGCTATGTTCAATTGGCTAATATTTATGCTGCACAAAATAGATGGGACCATGTAGCTAGAGTCCGAAGATCCATGAAAGAAAATAACGTAGTTAAGACACCTGGGTATAGTTGGCTTGAAGTAGACAATATGGTACATGAATTCAGATCAAGCGATAGGTTGCACCCTGAGCTGGCTTCTATACACAAAAAGCTTAAAGAATTGGAAAGAAAAATGAAGTTTGCTGGGTATGTGCCAGATCTTGAATTTGCATTACATGATGTGGGAGAGGAACAAAAAGAACAGCTTCTTTTCTTTCACAGTGAGAAACTCGCAATTGCCTTTGGACTTGTAAAGGTTCCACTGGGTTTACCAATTCGGGTATTTAAAAACTTGAGAGTCTGTGGAGATTGCCACTCTGCAATCAAGTACATCTCGGCTATTGAAGGAAGAGAAATCATTGTTAGGGATACTACAAGGTTTCACCACTTCAAGGATGGTTTCTGCTCCTGTGGTGATTATTGGTAAGCTTGCAAGATTGCAGCTCACACAAGTTCTAACTTGAGGATATGCTTTTATTGTCATAGCCTTTTCAGCATTCCAACTCACTAATTTTCTACCTCCTGATGTTATATTTACGTCGAAAGGAGCATTGACCTTGAGAGAAGGACCAGTGAGAGACTAATTATGATAACTGGGAGTCTGAGACTCTCAGTCAAAAGCTCTATATTTCTTTGAACTTGTATGCGGAATCACCTGAATCTGGAAAGAAGTTTGTCAAATGTTGTCTGAATTGAAGAGATGATATAAAAGCAAATCAGGGAGTTGTAATATTTGATCAGCTCCTTATTCTTCTTGCTTGCACCATAATTGGGCTTTCACAGGGTGAAGGCACAAGTTCTCCGATGAAAACTGATGTTTGGAGAAGGAATTTAGGAGGAGAGCTTGTGAAAGTGATAATTTGCAGCATGCTAACCGCGGTGTTTGGAGAAGGATTTCAAATTTCTTGAAGGCCTTGATGATGACGCTCTTGTGCCAGAGATCCTTAACCGCAACCTCCAAATTATATGTAGGGAAAATTTCACTGAAAACTCCTAGACCAGACATAATAAAAAAGAAAACTCCTAAATTTCTGAAACCTCACCGCAAGGCTGGAGTACTGAATTGATATTAAATTTCAGTGGAAAATGACAAGATTGTCCCTCATTGAAAGAGAGAAGTTTTGCAGAAGAGAGAAAGAAGAAAGAAGACTGGGGCGATTGCTTGAGTTTCTCTGGTGGCTCTGCTCGTGCATGTGTTCGTGAGCTGGTTGTTCATGTACCAGCTTTAGTTCGGAGTGATTGAAACTGCTGCCACAATCAATATATTCTGGTGGGTTTTGGTGTTTGGACTCTGGCTACAATCAATTGAAATCTAACTTTTTGTTTAGCTATAGAAACTGGCTATCACAAGGGACTCTAAAAGCCTCTCAACTGGTTGTCTGCAAATTGGGCACCTGTTTGTTTGAAACCTCAAAACCTTAGCACACCCACTACACATGCACTGCAGCAGGCGAAGGAATGCAACCTAAGTAGATCAAGATGAACTCAAGGACTAACATATATGATCATCAACATGAGAAAGGGAGTAATTTAAGGCAGATCCTAATTATTCAAGTTGGCTGAAATAAATATTTGACATGAGTTTAATGTAAATTAATGTGTTGTACAATCAGTATCATAACATTTATTCATAGATGTTTTTTTTTTTTGCCAATATTTATTCATAGATGTTAAAGGAATGCAAATGCAATATTAACAATGTCAATGTTGTCGTAACTCTAAATATTTACAATGTTATTCCAAGTTGTTCAATGTTTATAATGTTATTTTTCTATGTATGTATGAACAAATCATTGGAGGGGAATGAATTACTTGTTCATGCTCATTTGCAACTGCATGTGATAAGAAAAATGAACCATAAATATTGATGGGTGTAGGTTGGGCTATAAACGAGTCTAGTAGGCAAATGAACAAAATTTGGTGGGAAAATAAACAACAATCTAAAGGCAAATAATCAGCTCATCTAAATATGAAAGCAATACTTGAAATAAAATTACGTAGAAGTAGTGTTACTACTGAGTCCAATAGGTAAACAGACAACATTTAGTTAGAAAATGAACAACAATATGTAGTCAAATGAACAACTCATTTGAAAATGAAAGCAACATTTGAAATATAATCAAGTAAAAGTAGTGTTACGAACAAGTCTAGTAGGCAAGTGAAGAACATTTAATAGGAAAATGGACAACAATATGTAGGGAAATGAACAATATCTATGTAGATAATGAATAACTCATTTTGTTATGATTACAATACTTTGAATAAAATCAAGATTCAGTGATGACACAAACAACTTCTATGAGAGAATAAGCAACTTCACGTAAGAAAATGAATAATTTCAATATCAAAAATTTACAACTATTTACCATGATAACAATAGATTTAAAACACACTTGCAAATTTTTCACATTAAAGTTGTTCATTTTTCTTATTGAAATAGTTAATTTGACTATCACAGTTATTTGTGCACATAATTTTAATCAATTTTATTCTTATTGTTGTTATTATGGTAAATGAAGTTGCAAATTTCTCATACTGAAGTTGTTTATTTTTTTATATTGAAGTGGTTATTTTACTATTAACTTCTAGAATTTCATGTCATTTCATTACATTTTTTTTAGATTCTAATCCATTTTAGGTCAATTGTATATATTTTTATCGTCCAAATTAAAAAAATGTGCATTTTACTTTGAGTTTGCATTATTGGCTTTAATTTAATACTTTTAGGCTAATTTTATCTTATTTTAGTTTAAATATTGATTAGAAACATTTATGGAGCTTTGTTGATGTTTTTGGAAAGCTTTTAGATAAAGAAATTAAGTACAAAGTGAATAATTTTTGTTAGCTGTAAAAATAGTGTAAAAGTGCCAAAGTCGTCAGAAAGTTGCGACTTATGTTCGCAACTTTTGCCGCTATAAAAAAAACGCTACGTTTTATTTATCTAAAATTAGTTAGGTAGGACATATATATGCTGAGAGCTCAACTCATAACGCATTTTACACACTTTTAGACACATTTGGGGTTTGACTGTGCTAGGGTTTTGGCATTGAAAGAATTGGGATTAAGAGATTGAAGTTTTCAAGACATTTAGAGCTCATTTTCTTTATTTTTTTTATTCCTCTTCCCTTTCTTCTTTTGTAATATGAAATAGATCCAACTAATTTGTGTATTTGTGAAAGCTTATGAGTAGCTAGACTTTTTATTCTAGAATTATTTAAAACTCTTATATGGATTAATACTAAGTTTCTCCTCTCTTTTTTTGTGATTAATGATATATATGTGTTTATTTTACTCTTTCCTTAATACTTCTAAATGATTGGCCACTATTTAGATGTTGGATTTACTTGATTGATACTTGAGAGAGCTAGATTGAGTGTAGAACTTAGATAAAAAATGTAAAAATTTGATATTTGCATGTTAAATGGATAGTTTTGCTAGTAAAATAGAGATATACTTGTTAGCCTTGTATAGCCATGTTAGGGTTGGTGTTTAAAATTGAGTTTTATTAATTATAATAAGAGATTGGGTAATTAATTTAACTAAATACTTGTTCATGATTTGAAAGAACTTGTCCAAGTATTTTTAAACCCTAAGTTAGCACTTAATTATCTTCATTAAAAGTATTTATAAGAGAAGGTAATTTTAGTGTTATGAAATACAAGGGGAATAAATAATCTTAGATTCTAATTTGTGCTTGAAGTTTATGAATCATTCTCTTTTCCTCATTTTCTAGTGTTTAAAAAAATTAAATTTTTCCTATAATTGTGTTTTGCTCAACTTAATTCAATTTGCTTAGTCTTTTGTTTGATTACTATTTTTAAACAAATCTCTAAAGAAATAATATTTTACTTTCATTATATTACTTGCTATGACCCGTGCACTTGTGGTGAGCAACATCTACCTACCAAAATAGTTATATACATAGCTTTAATTAATTTTATTTTTAATGTTATTATCATGATAAATGAAGTTGCAAGTTCTTCATACTTAAGTTATTCATTTCCCATATTGAGGTGGTTAATTTGCCTATCAAAGTTGTTTATGCACCTAATTTTAATTGATTTTATTTTTAGTGTTGTTATCATATTAAATGAAGTTGAAAATTTCTCATATTGAAGTTGCTCATTTCTCATATTGAAGTGGTTAATTTGACTATTAAAGTTATTTGTGTGCATAGTTTCAATTAATTTCACTCTTAATGTTATTAACATGGCAAATGAAGTTGCAAATTTTTCATACTAAAGTTATTCATTTCCCATATTGAAGTGGTTATTTTACCTATCAAAGTTGTTTGCGTGAATAGCTTCAATTGATTTTATTATTAGTGTTGTTATTATGGTAGATGAAGCTGCAAATTCTTCATACTGAAGTTATTCATTTCCTATATTGAAATGGTTATTTTGCCTACCAGACTTGTTTGTGTGCATGATTTCAATTGATTTTATTCTTAATGTTGTTATCATGGTAAAAAAGGTTACAAATTCCTTGTAATGAAGGCTTTCATTTTCCATATTGAAATGATTAATTTGCCTACCGGAGTTGTTTGTGAGCATAGTTTTAATTAATTTTATTCTTAGTATTATTATCATGGTAAATAAAGTTGTGAATTTCCCATATCAAAGTTGTTCATTTTCCTACTGTAGTTGTTTATTGTCCCTTTGCATTGAAACGCAATTTAAGTTCTAAAGATGATATCCTCACAAAAATGATAAACAACATTAGTCCAAAATAAATAATTAAAGGATCAACTTTTATAGATAATTAATTACAAGTGAGGATTATTCATCATAATTACAAATTCTAGGATGCAAAATATCCAAATTTCTTGAAGATTTGGATCTGTTGCAAGTAGTCTCCAATCGTCATAGACATAGGAATAGAGAACAACTCATAACATAAAACTCAAGACGGCTGATTTGAATATAAGTCAACTGAAACTTCATAAAGGAAAAGGCTTACAAAATTTCCCAGAAATTGTTTATACTGATGGAAGAGGTTGATGAAGGAGAAGAACAAGGCTATAGATACCGAGGCCAAACTTCAGAACCAAGCATCTAAACCTCTGTGTAGAAGCACAGAAGGTGAGAATGAGTGCTTTGTTGGTTTCATTCAAGCTAAGTAATCATGAGAAAGGCAAATAATGGGTTAATTTGTTTCGGCTAAAAGCAGCTAGAGAGAAACCAAGTGAGAGTGAGTGGGGAGCATGAAAGTAAGGGAAAGAAAGAGAAAGAGTGATTAAATAGGGACAATCTTATCATTTATTATTAAATTTTAATTTTATTTCAATACCCCATCTTTATAATAAAATTTTAAAAATTCAGAGGCCCTCTTTATTATTATATTTGGTTTAGGGGTCCTCACTCAAATTTTTCCTTATATACTCCATCCGTTAAAAAATATAAGATATTTTTTGAAGAGTTAAATGTTTAAAAATATAAGACATTTTCAGTCTTTCGAGGTATAATCATTGTCTTTTTATTAAAAGTACCCATATTGATAATGAATTTATATTTATTATAAGGTGTTTAACAGTTATAAGTATGAAAATATAGGGTTAGTTTGAAAGTAGATAACTACTTTATTAAAAGGTGAGATTTAATTAAAAATGTCTTATATTTTTTAACGGAGTGAGTATATCTTTATAATAGTTCAAGTATAAGGGTTGCATAAAGAATTTGTGTTCTCATGTCCTGGAAAAATTGATTGAATGCTAAGGCCAATTCAGTATTAACTACAATTGAGGATTGATCAATTAGACAACACATAAGGTTGTTTCTTGTGAGGCATTTCTTGCAGATTTCTCCCCTTCAGATATCCAAAGCATAAATTTGATGATGCAATAGATGAAGTTGATGAATGCTCAAATCAAAATTGGTATGATGAACTAATCTTTTCAGCTCAGGGTTGCTCTGGAGGATGTCATATATCACAATAATCCGCAAATGGACTTTAACGTTCTTTTATTTTGTTTAGTTAGTCATTCGCATATTCTGTGTATGATTCTATAAATGGAATTTGATATCCTGTGACATTTGTATTTTTGAAATAGTTTTTGTATTGGAAAATATCGCTTTCTCAAGCACGATGAACTAATTAATTAAAACCAAGAAGTTTTTTGAGAAAATGAAAGAAAACTATAAGAGCAAAGAGATTCAGATCTTAGGTTGTGGATTTTAGGCAAGGTGATGCGTGTTGAAGATTTTATGGAGTCACAAATTACACAATTAAAAATATATTTTTTGATGAATTAATGTGTAACATTATTGTAGACGCACTGTTTGATACTTTGATTTTAATTGATCAGGCTACATAATTAAATCATTTATATGGTCCCAACCAACTAGAATTGATGAACCTACAGTGAATTCGGAATTCCAGAGTAGTTGTGTATTATTATTCTGGCAAAAAAAAAGTATTATTGTTATTATTGCATAGGCGTGGCAAACTTGCCGTTGACGTGGCTGTGATCTGTGGAAAAATAAAAACACTTTGGCGAGCATGAATAATGTGGACACGTGATTGGTAGATGATGCGTGAGTCAGCAAAAATGTCAACCTCTCTCTCTCTCTCTCTCTCTCTCTCTCTCGCTCTCGCTCGCTCGCTCTCGGTGAGTTAGTTGCTGGCAGAAAGCCCCTTCCCACCACCACTCCTTTTCATTTTCCCTTGAATAACAACTCCCGTCAATTTTTTATTATACACAATATTTTTTATATTAAAGATAAATTTATTTAAAATATAATAAAGTGTTAAATGTAAAAAAATTTTTAAATAAA